TCATTGTGAGTTAACATGCACCAGAGACCAATTGTATTTCTATTAACTAACACAACTGACATGAACAAATACTGTAATATAGTTTACTGTTTGTTCATGTTAGTAAATGCATTAAAAACATTAACTGATACAACCTTATTGTAAAATGTAACCGTTTTGTTTCACTGAGGTACTATTATACGCTATATTTAGATACTACACTATTATAAGTTGAATTCCTAGCTTTCTTCAAAATGTGCTTTTGTGATCAACAGAAGATAGAAACTAAAACAGGTTTGGAACAAGTAAAGGGGGAGTAAATGATGACAGAATCGTTTCTGGGTGAACTATGGCTTTAAATCTTCAGAATTCTTACTTAATTAAAAAAAGAAACAGAGGAAAACTGAGAAATCCCATTTATTTAACTTAATATAACTTACATACTATTGTTAAAATATAAAGTAAAATGTAAACTTTTGCATAAATTGAATTCTCAGTAGTACATAACCTAACGCTATGCACCGATAGACAAAATTCACCAAATACTCAGAATCTACTACAAGAAAAAAATGTATTATTATTTATAAAAAAGACAAAATAATTGGTTCAAAGAAGTTCAAACGCAGCTTCCATAAGGGAAATGGATGCATATTTTGGAGTGGCACTGCGCAGATGAATTGTGAACTCAAACAGTAAAAGCGAGCTCAGATGACTCATCTCCATCACCGCAGGACGGAGCTCTCGGGGGGGATGGAGTCTAAAGTTCACTATGTGAGGACTGGGTATTAAAGGAGGAGCGAGGCATGACCTGAGCTTCCTCCGCTGAGCTCAAACTGATGAGGGTTTAGCCATTTGGCCTGGATCAGCAGGTTGGGCCTGTACAGGTGATGAGCCTCTGCCCAGAACAACCCTCCACACACGCAGGGTCAGCAGACACACGCCAACACTAAATCCTCAATCCCACAGGAATCCAGATGGAGAAGGCCACGAATACACAGCATCATGACAAAATGACACCATGGATGCAATCTAAAGTAGCACATACTGCATCTCTCTGTCTTGCACGAATGACTGTTTGCTTTGAAAAAGACAAGAAAAATGTAATGAAGAAAAATATAAGGCCTCATAAAAAAAAACTTCTTGACAGCAATCTAAAAGCGCTGATGACACTGTACAGCAGGGGTGCCCAAACTTGGTCCTGGGGGTAGTTCCAGCCATCAGACACACCTGAGCTAGCTAATCAAGCTCTTACTAGTATTCCTTGGAGGAGCTAAAAATCTGCGGGACACCAGTCCTCCAGGACCTAGTTTGGACATCTTTGCTGTAAACTGCCTTGTGCTAATATTGGTGCCCTTGGTAAAAAAAATTGCAAAGGCTGTTAAAATGTACAAAAGAAAACTGTTAAAACGCATGCTCAAATGATAACAAAAAAATAAATCAATAAAAAAACAGCAACAAATAATGGCAATAGATTCATCATGTTAAATCAAAAGATAAAACGAATATCTCCAGCTCCTTCCATAAACATACATGCATAAATTTATGATTTCATCCTTTTTTTTATAGATTATTTTGTAACACTTTTTTAGTATCAAGTAGGGTTGGATGATGTCGATTAGTTTGGCATTGTATGATATCTAATGTGAAACATCATAATAGACCATGGTATTGTCGTCGTGGGTGGTGGTGAATTAATTATTAATGAATAAAACACAACCAAATCACAAATAAATAAAGATAAGTTACACACAAATTGCATTTATAGCATTTTTAAAATAAATTATAGATGTGGCTATGGTTTTACAATCCAAAATACTTTTGTAAAATCCCCATGAGACCATTGTAGTTTTTAATAATAGTTTGAATGAGGTTTTTATTTTTATGTTTTACGTTTTATTTGAAGGTTTTACAATTTTGCTTTAATAGCTTTTATTTGTTCTAAATTGTTGAAATTAAAAATACACATTAGACATGTTTCTATAACTGTATAGCAGTGTTGTGGAGTTGGAAAATATTTAGCATTTTTATGCAAATGTTATTTTTGTGCCATTAAAATATTATTGCAGTTTTTTAATTATTAGTGTCAAATAATTATTATTATTCTTCTTTAAATTTTTAAAAGTTTTAATTTTAGTTATAGTAATTTCTCTTTTGCTTTTGTTTTGATTTCATAGCATTAGGATAAAAAAATCTAATTAAATTAAATAAAAAAAAAAATAATAATATTATTAGCCCTCCTATTTACACCCCCCCCCCCCCCAATTTCTGTTTAACGGAGAGAAGATTTTTCAACACATTTCTAAACATAACAGTTTTAATAACTCATTTCAAATAACTGATTTATTTTGTCTTTGCCATGATGACAGTCAATAATATTTTATTAGATATTTTTCAAGACACTTTTATACAGCTTAAAGTTATCATTATTAATTATTAATAAATTAATCATCTTCAGACTATCTTCTTTAAAAATGGTCTTCCTTAATTCTGCATCCAAAGCATTAATGAATTACACCCTTTTTCCTATTTAAGTAAAAAAGAATGAGAAGGAGACTATTAACAGTTAACCTTCCAAATGACCACGGTCAAAGTACAAGATCTTCACGAGATCTGAAAACAGGACTGTATGACATGCAGAGCAAAGCTTAAGCAGGATCGAGCACATAAATTAGGCTGTGTAAGACCACGGCAAATGCAAAGCAGGTCCACGCATTGTCTGGATTAAACATTATTTTTGTCTATCAGCAGAAGGATGGGGCTGCTTTAATTAAGTTAAGAGTTGCCTGAGAGACAGTTTAACAGGAGGGCATTAAAGAATACCGTAAACAAACAAAAGGAGTGGACAGATAATCCATAAGCAATTAATTAGGGGAGGAACTGTGTGGCTTCCGCACATATCAGTCACATTGAATAATTGCTGGAAAAGAGAGAGATATTTATACACTGTCCTGGGTTAACAAGTCTGTACAAGGAGAGGAGGAATGAGATGCTCACCGTCCTGCTCCCTCTATTGCCGCTGATAGCTGACAGTGATGTGGTATGCACCATCTTTACTATTCAAGATATATTAGCCAAACCATCTGGAAGGTCAGAGAGGTAATGGCTATTGTATATTTTATGAAGGAGGCTGCAGTTAATCATATGGTTGAAGGTGATTTTTGTTATGCAGCACATCACGGCTTTGTTCCAAACGCTAGTGAGTTTCTGTCCTGTCTATCTGCATCAGGAGCATCCTATGTGAAATGGAGTCTAGCCAAGACTGTATGGGATAAAACAAAACAAAATTTCGGCTTGGTCCCTTAATTATTCAGGGGTCGCCACAGCAGAATGAACTTCTAACTCATCCAGAATTTTTTTTACACAGCGGATGCCCTTCCAGCTGCAATCCATCACTGGAAAACAGATTGCAGCATAATTTTTTTTATCATTTTATAATGCATTTCATATAAATGGTATGTGATTGACAGAAACAATACAATAAAGCAAAAATAAAATATGTAATAAATATTTTTTAAATAAATTTAAAAATACGTATTCCTTCCAACAATATTTAAAAGTAAAATTAAGAAAAAATTTGTGTTGCTGTAATGTCAATTTAAGCCACACATAAATCGATCTTCTCTGTCTTTACTACTAGTTATAGCACCAAATAAACAAAAAATAATATTAGGATAAATATAATAGTATAATAGTATAATAATAATAGTATAATAGTAAATTTCATATAAATGTTATAAAAAATCATTGATTGAAACAACAAATAAAATAAAATAATGTAAAATCATTTTCTAATAAAATAATAGTATTAATATTACATTATTTTGTTACTGTAACCTTAAATTAAGCCACACATAAATCGATCACCTCTTTGTCTTTACTACTAGTTATAGCACCAAAATAAACCGAAAACAATTTTATAATAAATGTAATACATTTCATTTAAATGTTATGTAATATCATTGACCAAAACTAGGAATAAAATAAAACAAATTACTATTTAAACTTTTAAACTAAACTAAACATATAATGCCAAATAAACATGAATGAAGAATTGACATTTTTTTTACTTGGACTGCCATCTTAATAAATAGAGAAACACATAGACAAATAAACAGATTACATAAACAACCACAAACAAATAAATAAACGAAATCAATCAGGGTTGTTATAGTAACTAAAAAGTAAAATTAAAACACGTGTGGATGAAAATTATTTAAAAAAAATAATTTAATAAAAGTATTTAATATTTTCTAAAGAAAAATGTTTCAGATTTTTATAATTTCAAACTTAAACAACTAAAAGTATAACTAAAATTATTAAAGGTATTATAAATATTTTTGAAAAACACAACTGTTTAAAAAGATCTTACAAAAAATACAAAAACTAAGCAAAATACACAATACTAAACTAAAACTAAATCTAAGTAGTATGACCAAATTCAGGTTAGAAGAATGTCTAAACAAATACTGTCTAGTTAGACAGGCCACTGCAGATCCAAACAAATCTATTACAATAATAATAATAATAATAATAATAATGATTTAACAATTTCTGAGTGTATGTATGAACAGCAGCAGCATTTGTACTGTAACTTACACAGAATGTGACATTTTACAATAAAACAATCCTTAAAACTGAATATAGTTGAATATAGTAACTGAATATTTTTCCTTTTCTTGTTTTCAGAAACCTCTATAAAAAGCTGTTTCCAGGTTTGATTTGTGGAAATAACTGTGGTTCTGCTAGCAAAACATTTGCTACCAGTTCACCAGCAACAACAAATCAACCAGTGGAATGCATTCTGGGATGGGCTATGTGTGTGTTTGCTTGACCAGTGTAGGGAGTATTATCAAAACCTGCATTAAAACAATCATTACTTTTGCAATTGAGTTTGATGCCCGAGGCACAGAAATTACACACTTAACCTTTTAAGAATAAAAGAGCACAACTGGATTACCACAGTCATTTAGATTGTTTCCCTGAAACGGGTCAATAACACAAGCACCGTGTGATGAATTTACCTGGATTTCCACCCCATAGCCCATGTAGACGGTCACGGTGTATGTGCAGTCCACATTGGCATTGTACCAGCTCCTAGCCTGCTGTGGTGTCTCTATGTAGCCTCCCGGCGATGTGAAATTGGCGCTACACGGAGCTGCATTACAAAAGATAGAAGGACAGAGAGAAAGTGCGCATCAGTAGAGTCGTTCTCGCTCTCTCCATCTCACTTCATTGCGTTCTCTCCCATCTTTAATTGTCTTTCAAGGTTTTCTCATTTTCTGTCTGGATCAGCGGGGTCAGTTTTGCTGCTCTGTTGTGTAGGAGCATGTGGACAGTTCTGGTGAAATGGCAGGTGAAATGGCGAATATTTTCTGGTTGCCTTCAGCTCTTTTTGCTCTGTTGGCTTCTTTATCTCCCACTACAGTCAACCCCTGCTGTTCTCACTACATATGTATTCATATGCTTGGATTTGTTATAAGGGATGAGTTATAATTGCATATTTTCTTAATCAGCATGTTAGCAACTAGTCAGCTAGACTAATGCTACAGAGGAATATCAATGAATATACTTTTTTTTTTTTTAAGTTATGGAAAATATTCTAAACCAATTTATCCAAGTAAAGATGTTTTAAATTTTTGTAAGTGAGTGCAGCATGACAGAATTGTACTCTAAATCGGTATTCTTTTCGAGATTTGAGGAAAAATATCCTCCCCAATGGAAAAAGTGACGCTGGACCATAAAACTAATTTTATGTCGCACATGATTTTTTTTTTTTTTTTTTTGTCAATAGCCAAAAATATCTTGTATGGGCCAAAATGATTGATTGTTTTTTACTCTAAAAACGCAGTAGAATAATAAATTAAAATTATGTTCCATGAAGATATTTAGTAAATCTCATAGAGTAAGGCCCAATCCCAATTCTATTTTTGTACCCCTACCCCTTCTCCTTCCCCTTCCCCTTCCCCTTCCCCTTCCCCTTCCCCTTCCCCTTCCCCTTGGCTCTTGAAACAGAGTGTGAACGTGAAAGGCTTTAAAATGTACCTCTAAAAAATGGGACACCACTACAACACAAGCCTTTACAGTGGCCATATTCATCTACTGTATGTAAACACACCAAAAAACAACAATATAACATTATAGCAGACACTGTAAAAAGCCCATTCCCAGCCACTAGACTTTTCTGACAGGGCATTCGAGTGTCATCGAGTGTCAGAATGTTGTGGAACTGCTATACAGGAGTAATGATTATGCATTATAGATAGCAAAATTAGGCTTTTTTATGTTAGTGGGTAAACCACGAACGTGGTTATGAATATATTAAAACATATGCTTGTTTGTTGTAAAAATTTATAATAATGACAGAAAATACTAATTTGTGTATCTCCATACTTCTTTGTGCAGCCATGCTGTCGTTGTGTATTCTGGGAATTTTTCTTCTTGGTTTTGAATGTGGTCCTGATAAATCTCTGTTTGAAGGGGTATCTACACCTTCCCCTTAGCCCTACGCCTTCAAGCTAAAGAAAATTGGTAAGGGGAAGGGCTAAGGGGTAGAATTGGGATTGGGCCTCAATATATCCTACAGTAAGTATAATAACTTATTTTGTGACTAATAACTTCGATTGGACAAGTATAGTAGACATTTTTTTGTATCTAGATTAATGATTCAAGATTTTTCACATACAGTAGTTGTATCTTGGCCAAATATTTCCTATCTAACAAAGTATACAACAACGGAAAGATTACGTGTTTAGCTTTTAGATAATACATCTCAATTTCTCAAATAATTACAAACTTTAAAAAAAATAATCATACTTATTCTAAATATTCATTGTATTGAATATTGAAAGTTCAGAACATATGAAATGCCACATTATTATTATTAGTTTTCATTAACATTCTGACATTTTTCATTAAAACGAACAAGCAAACAAAGATGTTACAGTTGTTTTTTTCTTACTTTTTTTAAACTTGTTTGTTTTAAGACAGATTTTATTGGACAGAGCCAGTGTCATTATGTTATAAAGCACAAAAAATAATAGACATGTGCAGAAATTTGATGATTTTTTGAGCTATCACCCTTTAATGACGTCATGTTACGGGAAAACTGAAATTGTGTGGTTTTGTTCCGGAAATTATTCATTTACAAATTAAGCACTGGACATAGGATATATCCTCAAATCAAAAAAAAAAAAAAAAACTGCTATTAAATAATTTCGGATAGTACCTTTTGTTATATAGACATTCTAACTCACTGATTTATTTATTTTTACTTTTAACATCATCATGTAACAAAAGCCCCAAAAAGCAACAGCAGTACACCCCCACGCCTTCCAGCACAATCAAACATTGTGATAAGCCCAAAATCTGAAACACATGCAAATCTCAGTCAGACCAATCATATGAATGATACCTGGCGTCTGCATGTTGGTAATGACCGTTGTGGTGATGATGGTGGATGTGGTGGTCTCGTCATCCAAATCACCAGCCACTGATGACGATGCTTTTACATCAACATCACTTTCTGGAGATTCATCATGTTCAACAGAGGGCTTTCTCTCTACAGTCACATCCTGTGGCTTGATGTTGAAAGTTTGAGTGAAGTCTTCTCTATCTAAGTGTTTGGAAACAGGCAGTGCAGATGTGTGCGCATCAGTGGTGCTCAAAGAAATGGATGGATCTGAACTTCTTCTCTGCGTTTCTACTGAAAGTTTGTGTTGGATTTTGGGCACATGTGGCTGGGTGAGGGCAGCAGCCGATGGAGCCATTGTGGTGCTTCTGGGAGCCGCTACATCAGAAAAAGGCAGTGCTTCTTCATGTGGGACCAACTGTGTAGATGGGTCCTGGAGGAGATGGGAACTGGAGGATGGCATTGTGGGATGGTGCGCTGCCCCTCCACTGTCCTGAAAATACTGGCCGTGGCTTTGGCCACGTGGGTCATAAGGCGGGTAGGGCTTAAAAGGCGGATGGTGGTCGAGGCCACTGTAAGGGGGAGCCGTGGTGAACAAGGGTAATTCTCTGTCTGTGTCCTGGGTGGTGTGATATGGGTTGGACCCGTCCTCTGCTTCTAGCTGACCTCCTCTTTGGGTGACTGCTAACCTCCCATCTGTTAAGGATCCTAAAGAGACATTAAAGTACAAATGAAATCAAAACGAACCATATTTATTTGAATAATTCATCTGTACATGACATTAAGTAAAAAAAAGTTTGCCCTTGTAATTTAAAATTGAAATCTGAAAATGCACTTTCATACGTCTGTCTGAGGTATTGCGGTATTAAAACTGACAGGTGGAGGGGCGTGGTTAAATATGTTAACCACGCCCCTCCAACTGTCAGTTTTGACAGCATTATAACAAACAAAAATGGTGAGATGTAGGTGTTTGTTAGGTTTAAAAACACTCCAGAAACCCTTTTCCTGATCATTTTGAATTAAATGCCTTCTTTACAACATCAGCTCGCAGCAGAAAAAACAAGCCACTCTTTATATATATATATATATATATATATATATATATATATATATATATATATATATATATATATATATATATATATATATAAAGTTTTTTTATGAACTGCGTCACAATACGAAGAAAAAAATGGTGAAGTTTAAAGACAAGCAGAGTTAATTATGAAGTTTCAGGCAGACACATTCACACAATAAGTAAAGAGATATTAGTCCACATTAGGGCTGGGCCAAGAAACGATGTTATATGTTATACACGATAAAATTTATGTCAATAACAATGATAAGCTCTGGACTTAGATCAAAGAGCCAATCACACAGCAAAAATGTGCAAAAATGGGAATCTAAAAGTGTGTTCATATTAGTATAAGGTGATTTATTTATACACATTTTAATGCTTTAATTATTAAATTGATAATTTGATTATTCTTTTTATTTTAGCCAGCACTCCTGGTCCTCCATACATGTGGTGAACTACAGAACAACATGTGCACAGGTCGTCTAATGGCCAGGCATGCATAATAAAGCAATTTAGCCATTTTCGCAACTGTGTGATTGGGGATCATTTTGACAATGTTGTCCTTGGACCTTTTCAAAGTACTATTCCATAACCTTTCTATTATTAGTAGTACACTGCTGTCATGAATAAGTGAAATTACATGAAAATGTACCCTAAAATTCAAAGCTGTGGAAAAAAAACAGGTTTGAACTAGAATAATATCTTGTGTTCAAACAACTAAACTCCTTTGTAACATATTTCAAAGCCTGGCATCTTTTATTGTGTGAAGCCTTGCAACAAATTTCCTTTCTAAACCACCCAGAGAGCAGAAGACTGTGTGTTTTATGGCATGTGAAGCTTTGTGGTTCAGCCGTACGTAATTGCAAGGCATTCAAACCGTGGGGTCAGAACCCCCAGTACATTAACAAAATGGAAAAAGTATCCACTAAATGGATTATGATTGGAGACGTTTTGAAAACGACACAGAGCACGCGGAAGGAAAAAAGATAAAACTCCTTCGCCATAATTGTTCATTTGAATGCTCTCTCTCCTCCCCTTGCCAATTAATGAGTCCAAACCTTCATCAGGCGACACGTCGTAATGAGTGGATTTGAGTAGTGTAGCGGTGAAAATGGATCTCTTCCACCTGCACCTGGTGAGAGGGAATCAGCCGGCCTTCAGGAGGCTGCTGTGTGCCGAGAAAACTTTTGATTTCACAATGCTTCATTTGCACCCTAATAGCTCTCTTTTCTGTTTCTCCATTTACTAATAACAATCTGCTTCCAACAATGAAGCGCGCCGTTTCTGGAGCGCTTCCCTGCAAGGGAAGGGAGGGGATGATATCTCAAATCGAACGGAACCGACGGGATATTTTTTTTCTCCCTATCCTATGAAGTGTCAGAAGCAAAAGATACACATCATTTCGGCAAGCGCAGTTGTGTGTTTTATGAGAGATTGACTGGCTTTGAGGGTAAAAATCACATTGACATCTAACGCATCACTCAAACGCGAACAAAATGACACATGAGAGACAAAGCAAAGGGCAGGAAGTCCTCAATCCCTGTCATCCATTCACAATTCAGCCATTTGTAGATCAAACCACAAACCAGAAAGGATTTTATTTCTTTGACACAAGACACCTAAATGCAAACAGCGTGAGAGCACAATGCCAATCAGGGTTTGCTTTTATGACTAATGTATTAGCTGTGGCCTTACATGAGTAATTACTACATAAGTAATGTCAAATTTAGATACTTTTATGACATCAATTATTATCCTTTTCACCCTGAGGACAAGCATCTCTGGAAGGAATCTTGGGCAATTCGAACTTATTGGGTTTTACCAACATCCAAAAATGCACTTAAGCATATAACTTGCTCCAGTTTTCAGTTGAATTTTGGTAGTTAAACACCAACTTTTAAAATTGCTTCTGAAAATTGCTGTATGATTATGGTGCAGAATATTAATAAATGAAGATTTAATTCCACATATTTTATTGCACATTCAAAACACTTTAATAATCATTAACCAAGATGGAAAAACTTAATTTCTGGAAAAATAGATAGTCAGGCGAACAATGGTCAAGACGGGCAAACAGATGTACACAGGAAATCCAGAGTCATAGTCCAATACACGGGAATGGCAAAAAGGGGCTAATAATTTTGACCTTGAAATTGTGTTAAAAATATTAAAACTGCTTTTATTTAAGCTGAAATAAAACAAATAAGCTCTGTTAAGCATAATTTGGAAAATATTTAAAAAAGAAAAAAAAATCACAGGGGGGCTAATAATTCTGACTTCAACTATATACAAAAATGTTTTAAAAAAGTGCTTTTGCCAAAAATATCAGAAATGGCTCTGCTGAAAAAAGATTCCAGACTCCTGCTTTATAATAATGTAAGGCAGAGCTGTAACCTAAGTTCTATCTGTATGATTAACACAGACCTCACTCATCAAATGAGAGAGCATTAAAACTCACTCACATAAAAAAAAATAATAAAAAATCATGTACATTTACTTTGACTCAAGTAATATGTATAACCTTTGAGCTTGTGCTGGAAACATATTTTGAAATGCTGAAACGGCTGCAAAAATGTGCAAGAAGCTACATTTTGCAAAAATGTCAGTGCTGGCACACGGTTTTTAACAAGATCTTGAGAGTTCTTGACTTATAAAAAGCTTCTAACATCAGCATGCATATCACACTCAATGTCACAGGGATTCTGTGTTGAAAAAGCGAGCATTCCCACTGGAAAGTCCCATATACCCCCTGCACTTCACATAACCCCAGCAGTTCATAGTCCAAGCTCCCCTAAAATCTCCAGGCAAGACCAAACAGACGTGGTGCGCTGAGGCAGGAAAATGTTTGATTTGCTCCATTAGTGCTGGTGGAGTATAAACAGAATCTCTCAGACTGACTTCACTTTCTGTTCAAAGGTCCCTCAGTGCTGTGCTCTTCAATGGCTGGATTTGACTTTTAAATGACCATGAGCCTGCCTTAGAAGCTTTTTACACAAACCAGCGGGGGAGTGCAGGCTTTGTTTTACCCTCTGTTGCATTTTCTCTTAACTTGCAAATAGGTGTGTTCACTGAACTCCAATTTAAATAGCGCCCTTTATGCACGAAACATGGCGAAGGAGGAATAACTGCAAATAACAGCTGGAGGGAGAAGTGTGGTGTCACTCATTTTTATGCAAAAAGTTGCCCTGAGACATCTGTAATAAAGCACATCATTTAGAAGTCATTATTTATAAGGCTCTTTTAACCAAAGCGACTCATGGTACAAGCTTTACCCGAGCAAGCCCTTTGAAGCAATCTGTTTTTCTTTTTTTTCTGCTTTCACACCCTTTTAAGAAACTGTCCTACTTATGAGTTCATAAATTGTCCCCGAGTGTTAACACTTTTGACTGCTATTACAATCAGGGGAACGCTAGAAATAAATGCTTGCAACATCAAGGTCACAGTTTTAATTCCCAGAGAATGCATGGAGCAGAAATGCATGACTTGAGTGAAGTGTAAGCATCAAGCATCCAGCATACTAACAATATAAAATAAAATATAATACATCCCATCTGTGGGAAAAAAAATTATCTATTAGTAAAAAAAAGTATAATTTATTAGAATGTAATGGAATATAAATGTATGACTAAAATATGACCACTAAAATGTATTATTTTATTAGAGTATATAGAATAAATAAATAAATAAATAAATAAAATGGGAAGATAGTTTAAAGATGGTCCACTCCTCCCCCATATGCACCAGACAATGTAATGTAAGGTGTTCCATAGAGCTCATTTAACCATTGCCAAATTCATTCATTCATTTTCTTTTTAGCTTAGTCCCTTTATTAATCCGGGGTTGCTACAGTAGAATGAACCACCAACTTATCCAGCATATATTTATGCAGCGGATGCCCTTTCAGCCGCAACCCATCCCTGGAAAATACTCATACAATCTCAATCAAACACATACATACAGACAATTTAGCTTACCCAATTCACCTGTACTGCATGTCTTTGGACTGTGGGGAAAACCGGAGCACCCGGAGGAAATCCACGCGAACACAAGGAGAACATGCAAACTCTACACAGAAATCCCAACTGACCCAGCCGAGGCTCGAACCAGCGACCTTCTTGCTGTGAGGCAACAGCACTACCTACTGCGCCACCGCGTCACCTCAATGTCAAATTAACAACGTTTTTTTCTTGATAGAAGTGATGCCTGTAATCGTTGTAAGCAGTCTCCAGCTAACCATCTCCATATGTTCTGGAGTTGCCCTTAATTGACAAACTTCTGGTCCAGTGTTTTTGATACACTTAATGAAACTATTAACATAAATCTAGACCCTAACCCTATGACAGCGCTTTGATTTTTTTACTCTTGTAGCTAGATGAGCCATTCTTATCAAACGGAAACAGGTATCTCTCAAATCTTTTTACAAGACCCGGAACCCTGTTTTAAGCTAAATCAAAGGCTTAGCCTTGATATCAGCTCTAATACACAGTAAATAACTGGAAAGAGGAAATATTGACTTTTCTTTTTTTCCCCTTATTTACTCTTTTACAGTAAACCTTTTTTTAAATTAATGTTTAATTATTTTAAAACTTTTTTTTCTCTCAGAGGATATGTTTGTTTTTAATTAATAAATTTC